CTAACACTCTTGGACAAAGTTTGTTGTGATTTGCTAGAAGAAGAAGTATTTTTCCTTTCTTTTGGTGATGCAAATTCAAGTCAAATTCCAACCTAAGAGCATGTTACGATCTTTCCACAAGGTATATTTCCTTACGATTATATGCTATATCTCAGTACAAACGACAGGGAGAATGAAGTCTGTTTTCAATTTCATTACATTTTATATCACTGAAAATCTATATTGTGACTTTTTTTATATAAGAAGGAAAATAACACTTACCATCATCATCATCATAAGAAACTAAATCATCCATTTAGAATATTTGGGTAAATTCAAAGTTTTAGATATTACACAAAGTTATATGTTTTAAAAAAGTACATTAATATGTTTGAAGGAATAGTTTAGTCTTTTAAAGGTACAAAATCGGTAAGTTGAGATCTAAATTAAAATTTATATTGTGCCATTATTGTTGAATGGATATACATCGGATAAGACTTCATAGGTCAAATATGACGCCATGGAAAAATAGGTGACTTTTTCTTCTTAGAAAATTGAATATCCTATAATACAATAGAAGAAACTATAGGAAAACAGTAAATGTTCGTGGTATGAGGATGAATAATCAAATATGTTTTGCATTGTAATCCTTATTTGTTGATGAGATGCAATTGACACATAAATATATAATTTTACTCAATTGTTTATAAAAGTGGGAAGCCCTAAACTAAAAAGTTAAATTACTTAAATATTCTATTAAATTTTTTAACTAACCTACTTATTAAAAATATATAAGTATTAATAATAATTATTAAGAAGAAGAAATTTATTAATTTGAAGTGTTTTCAAAAAGCTACATCTTTTTAAACAAAACAAACCACGTGGTAAGGGATGAAGAGAAAGGAAAACTTGGGTATTTGTACTAGGGAAAAGTTTGGAAATTGGAATTTTCTTGACTTTAGTAGGGGGGGAAAGTNGGAAGGTTTGGAAATTGGAACTTTCAGGTTTCACGGATAGAAGTATTATTTCGTCGTGACAATTGGAGTAGTGAGATCTTTTGAAGTTTCATTGAGGTATAGGAGAGACATAGTCTCTTTAATACTTATAGTCTCATTGAGGTATAGCAGAAAGTTTCATTCTTATTTATTCCTTGCAATTCTTTCATTCATTTCTTTTTATTGGGTTGTATTCTTCTGGTCAAAAGAATTTAACAGTGCAACTATGATATCAACAACTAAAGTTATAATCATGACAGAGCAACCACAAAAGGAATATACACCAAATACGTTATATACATATTATATATGTTACAAGCGTATTTAATATTTGAATGTTATATGACAAATTAATATAATTATAAAAGAAAATATTTAACTAACTTAACTAAAATGATCTATATTAATATCAAGACGACATTTAAGAATTAAAAATTCATATAGTATTACATTACATCAATATAACAGAAATAGAAATTGCGAATTCTACATGTTATGCCATTATCTATTCTAATCTTCTCACGATAAACATAATATATACACTTAATTAATTTTTGTCAATATTATATTAGTATTAAATTCATTGTCTTGACATTACACGTGCAATGCACAGTGAGAAGAAACTAGTATATTGAATGGCATGATGCAATGCAGGCTGAATACTCAACCCTTTTGAATAATGCTACTTGGTCTTTAGTTCCTCCAACTTCATCACAAAATGTGATAGGCTGCAAGTGGGTGTTTCGTGTAAAACACAATGCATATGGATCAATTGAACGATATAAAGCGCATCTAGTTGCAAAGGGTTTTCACCAAAGACCGGGTGTTGATTTTCATTTTACCTTTAGTCCAGTCATTAAACATACCACCATTCGTCTAATTATTTATTTAGCAATGTCTTTCAGGTGGCACCTACGACAACTAGATGTAAACAATGCCTTTTTCCAAGGCACCTTGCATGAAGAAGTCTATATGCAACAACCTCCGGGATTCATTGATCCTGTTTATCCCAATTATGTCTGTAGACTTCATAAATCCATTTATGGACTTCGCCAAGCTCCAAGAGCTTGGTATACAGAGCTCAAGAACTTTTCGGATAACTTACTGTTTGTCTGGTGTCAACACAATATCCTTGTCTTTGTTATGGTGTATGCCGATGACATTGTTGTCACTGGTTCGTCAATCAAGCATGTCGACCACACCATCAAGTTGCTGGGAAACATGTTCTCTATCAAAGATCTTGGATCTTTGCATTTTTTTCTTGGTGTTGAAGTCATTCCACATTCAGATGGTCACTTACTTACTCAAAGCAATTACATTGCTGAGCTATTAGATAAATTTCACATGCTGGAAGCAAATGGTGTTGCTACTCCAATGTCTACCAGTGAGCATCTAAGCATTAATGATGGAACATGTTCAGCAGATGTAAAGCTGTATAGACAAGTCATTGGCTCTCTTCAGTATCTTAGTTTTACAAGGACGGATATTTGCTTTACCATCAATAAGCTTGCTCAATTCCAGCATGCTCCATCGATTTGACATTGGCAAGCAGCTAAGCGCTTGCTTAGATACCTCAAAGAAACACTCACCTATGAACTTCTCATAAGGCCCTCATCCACTACCATACTTCAGGCTTACTCTGACGCTGATTGGGGCGGAATGCTTGATACAAGACTCTCAACTTCAGCTTATGTCATTCTTCTTGGGTCCAATCCTATCAGTTGGTGTTCTAAAAAGTAGTGAATAGCTGCTCGCTCATCCACTGAAGCTGAGTATCAAGGTGTTGCAGGAGTTGTAGCTGAAGTAAACTGGATTGTTAATCTCCTTAAGGAGCCGCATCTTCCACCTAAGACTCCGCCAAAAATCCTATGCGATAATGTTGGAGCCATTTATCTCAGTCGTAATCCTGTTTTCCACTGTGGAATGAAGCATGTGGCCATTAATTTTCATATCGTCCGTGATCAAGTTGAAAGGAATCAAATTGATGTTCGGCACATTAGCAATGCCTCACAGCTTGCAGATGCCCTAACAAAACCTCTACCTCAACGACTTTCTCTGACTTTGTGACCAAGATTGGCCTCCGACCAGTGGAGCCAGTCTTGCGGGGGCATGATAAGGATAAGGATAAGCAGAGCTAAGATTTTCATTTGAATTCAAATTGTCGTATAGATCACCTAAACCTTTCTCCCTCATCTACAAAACTCCTACTACTATTGTACTTATTCAGATATAAATGTACACATTTACATGACTGAATAATACAAGTTGGAATACCAAGTCTTCACTATTTTAATTATCAGTTTCTGCACGTCTATCTAAACACGTAAATGCTTATTTAAAAAATCAGTTTTAGCACTCCAAGCTTATCAGCTATTTACAAACAGCTAATCCAAACGGGCTATTAATATAATTAGCCTTTCTACCAAAAAAAAAGAGTTAATAATATTGAATTTGGCAGTGGTTGCATATGTGATTACAATCTGATGAGAATGTATAACAAGGAGAGGGATATCAAACTTGAAGATGATCTACTGGTCAGTTAAGAATAGTTTGAGGTACTGCATCTCTTGAAGATTCTCATATTTTGCTATAGAAAAAGAGAAAGCTGAATCCAGTTGATTGTTTGCATATAGCCAACTTGTAAATTTTTACCATCAAAGGTTGCGGTGCGGTGGTAAGTATCCCTCCGATCCATCCTTTACTTTCATGATAGTAATGTGTTTTTGGCACTATGACTCTTTAAACTAGTACGAATTTGATGTCTAAACTAAGGTCTCTATTGAGTGGCTACTCGGTCTTAGTCCCAGCCTAAGAATTGTACGGGTTCGTGGCATTGGCTACACACTGAGCTTGTATCCGAAATCCCAGTAATATTCTCACACTTTGTTACCAAATCTCCAGCATTCCACCAGGTCTTAGTTTTTCTTTGTGTCAAATCTGTCCCAGTTTCTCATATAATGTTTCCTGATTGGACACATTGGCCCAAGATGCATATAGATGTGCATTGTCAGTTATGGATATGGCGATGATCATAAGGACGATTCAGAATTTGAGAATGATTTTGTATGTAGCATAATAGAGTTTATACAGACATGAAGGGCAGGGTTGAATGTTAACTGTGAAGATCTTAGAAAGGATTTTGCGGACCTGACAGTTGTTGGAACCTCTTCAACACATATATCAGGAGTTCAACTTTGCGAGGATGAGGATGTAAATGCTGAATTAGTTGGAACATCATAGCAGAGAGAAATACTTCCTACATCTAGAGGTAATCAAGGTTTCATGGAAGTTGAAAAAATGAAGCAAAGTAGGCCAAAGAAAATGAAAAAAACAACTCGGGTGTATAGACTGGAAAAAAACGAAGAAATTGATCTTCCTATCTGTAACAACTCAAGGAATGTATATGCTAATTATTATAGGCGTATTCACATTGGCCTTAGTGGTCATTACCTTACTCTGTCTAGTGCGACAACATGTACCCTTAAAACACTACTTAAAAAGAGAAAGAATGTCCATTGTCATTTACTTAGAATGCAGAAGCACCAGACACTACAACCCAAAATGTCCTTGCAAAAGTTGGTGTTCCTCTGAAATAAGCAAAAACAAAAAGGCAACCAAGATATCTACGCAGATGTGGTGTAAATATGACCTTTAAATACGCAATTTATTGTTCTATAATTGACAAAAGCAACATAATTGAACAACATCTGGAAAATAAATAAAGCGAAAACTTACAAGTTGTTAGCTACACAACTCTCATTTACCCGATCTTTTGCAGCCTTCAATGTTGTCACTGGTTCATTTTGTAAAATTGGACAAACTAGGCTTTCAATGTAGAGTTTCACCTAAACACTGTTATCAATGTTAGTAACCTCTGGAGATGTGAATGAACGATACTCCAGATTGTATATCGCTAAAGTTGATCCAAGGACATGCAAAATTTTACCTTCATTTGACATGCAAAGGGGTGGAGAAATCATATAGTTCTTAAGCACATTAGGATATCTTAAGGTATACATTTTTTTTTCAAGACTCTTTAGCCCCATACTCCTTCATAACCCACACATCAGCTCGAGTTCTATCATAATTACAGAGCACAGAAAGTTCACTTCCCAACACTCCAAGCGTCAAATAAAAGTATCCTTTGCAGCAGGGTAGCTCCACCTTTTGACACTTCTCATCAACCAAATCAACAGACGTAATGCCCCAACCATGAACACGCATAGTTACCCAGTGAAACTTCCTATTCACCAACTTAGCCGAACGATGGTATAATATCCCTCCTTGAACATCATCAAGTCTTCTCCAAGATTCAGTTTTTAAACTATATACACAGACATAGCCATGAGTGGATGTATAGAAAATACCCACTACCTTATAATCATCATGAACCTCATCATATCCAAATTCCAAAACCGTAATTGAAATTGTAATCATCTGTCTGCGTAGGAACAAGGTCAGGCAGTTGCTTCAACTTTCTAGTTGATGGATTCCACAGAACCAAGCGATCAAACCCAATGAGAAGACAAATCAACCCATTGACAGAACCCATAATATCAAAATATTTATCGGGATTTTTTATGGGAGAATTCAAGTCAAATATCTCAATAACAACCTCATCAAATAAAGAACTAACACAACAATGTTCAAAATTGTGCTTTAATTTCAACAGCAATCTATGGAGGAAGTAATCTTTAGCAGAAAGAGTAAGATGGGTGTTGACAAATTGAGGGCTAGAGATTAAAGAAAGCCAATCTTTTGAAACACACTTCAACCGTTAGAGGGACTTCACATGAAGTCTTTCAAGGATATCAGTTAGTTCATTGGGCAAGCTAGGGTTTGCAAAGATTGAATCTTTGTATTTAGTGGAGGGAATTTGCTTATAGTTTGTTGGTGTTGATGAGAGGCTTCATCTAATACGCATATTGCCAATAAAGAATTTGAAAGTTATGTAAATATTTTGGCGGGAAAAATGGTTATAGCTTGAGTCACACCTTTTACATTTCTGCATTCACTTTTTTGCATTTCTTTAGCATGTTTTAGTCTTATAAATAGGGAGTATTCCAAATGTAAACCATCGAGAATATTGTATTGAATCTGAGTTCCCTCTTTTCTCATTTCTCTCTCTATTCTGCCTCTATCTTCTCATTACTCTTCTATTTTTCTCTCGTTTGCACTTTTCCATTGGCTTGGTACCTCAATTTTGGTATCATAGCTTGGTAGACGATGGGACCACGCAGAGCTGTTGATGAAGTGATGGTTGATCAACCCATCGATTTACAGGATCAGTATGAGGATCTGGAAGCTCAACAACTAGATTTACGAGCAGAAATGGCACAAAAACAACAGGAGTTAAGAGATAAGTTGGACAAACGTCATGCTGAACTTCTACAAATGGTGAGTGCTATCAAAAACTCCTTCGATGGTCTGCAATTGAGTCAACAATCGAAGGACACTACCTCTACCTCGACTGCTAGAGACAAGGTGCTCCAATCAGGTCAGGGCATTCTAGGTCCCAACCCTTACTGTGTTAATGCTACTCGAAATCATAACTTGATTTTTTCTCGTTTCAATGGAGAGAATTTGAAGACATGGTTGTATAGAATTGAACAATATTTTTCAGATGGTGAGACTCCTCTCAATCAGAGAGTGAGGTTAGTGGCTATGAACCTGGATGATGAGGCCTTAGCTTGGCATCAGTCCTACATCAAGTGTAAGAATTTACCTGTGCTACCTGCGCGGGATGAGTACATAGCTGAGTTAATCGAAGCATTTAGTGGTGACTTCTCCGATCCCATGCTAGAATTGAAACAATTGAAACAAACAGGGTCGATAAGGGAGTTTCAGTTTGCATTTGATAGATTAGTAGCTCAATGCAATCTAACTGTTGAGCAGGCTATCTCTTGTTTCCTTGGTGGTTTAAAGGAGGAATTAGTGAATCCTATCATGATGCACGAGCCTAAAACACTAGCAAAGACTTGCATCTAGCTAGATTAGCTGAAGCTACTCTAACTGCAAATGCTAGAGTCCAAAAACATTCTACTAGTTATTCTGCTTCTAAGAGAAACTCTTATGAAGGTCCAGTTGTTCGTAGTACACCATACCAAGCAGTGGTTCCTGCACCATGGCTGACTTTACCTGTTGCTACTAATGTTATAGTACCAAGGAACAGAAGGACTATATCTCCAGCTAAGATGCAAGCAAAAAGGGCACAGGGACTATGATATATTTGTGATGAAAAGTACTCTGTTGGGCACAAATGTAATCTTCCTAAACAGATGTTTGTTTTGGAGCTTGAATCATCAGAGGCTTCCTCTGAGGTAGAGGGAAACATTCATCATAATGTTGAGTTACCTTTGAAGAATGGACTACTGCTGAGGGTGATCACCCACACATCTCATTGTGTGCTTTAGCTGGTATTCAAGGAGCACTAACTATACATATCACAGGTTATAGTAACAAACGACCCATTAAAATTCTATTAGATGGTGGTATCACCCATAATTTTATAGACTCAGATTAGCAAAGAAGTTAGGATGCACTGTTATTCCCACTGTTAGACCTATGTTTATTTTAATGAAGAAAAATAACACATCTTTTATGTGTAGAAACACTTCTGAAGCAATGGAAAGGAAGTAAATCAATCAAGGATTTGGTGGAAGATTAATGGAGACACTACTTAAGAAATGAAAAGGAAGCATCAAAGATTTAAGACAAAAAAGGAATGAGTAGCGGAAATTCAAAGGCAAAATAAATCAAGAATTTGGGAGAAGATTAAGAGAAGATCTATCTATCTATCTATATATATATATATATATATATATATATATTAAAGGAATAAAGTTACCATATATGATTGACATTGTAATTAAGCCAAGTAGCAAGCTATTAAAAAGTCACTTGGTATTCTTAAAGTGAGTTTAGGGGGAGATTTTCAAATAAGAAAATAGAACTTATATGAAATCCCATTTAATGAAATCTTAGTTTTTTTTTTAATTTAGTTTGATTCTTATATGGCAATCTTCAATTCAATTTTGTTATGGATCTTTAATTATTTTATATCCAGCTAAGTTATTTCTTTTATCCCGATAAATATTAACAAGAATGAAAAGTATGGATTTATTAATATAATTAAAAGATGTATAAATTTCCTATAAAGATGCAGATGTTATATAGAATAATATAATCATGGCAACCAAAGAAGAAAAAAAGAAAAGACAAATCCATTGAAACATTCATGGATATAAAAAAGCTATAAGAATTACTTTAACAAAAAGGAAGACGAAATAAATAAAGCTATATAAACTGTTAAAAAAAGAAAAGAGTAAATTGCTCTTCCACATAGTAAATAACAAAAATTTAAAATAAAATTAAAACTCAATATTCTATATTGAAAATAAAGCAGAACATAAATTTACGCTTGAAATGATGGCATATGCATTAATCTATATGTTTAAGATTTATGTATTTTTTTGTTATGTGTAATAATAATAATAATAATAATAATCTATCTATATATTATTAAAAGGAGAGAAAAAAGCTCTCACATCAAGCCAAGTGGCAACCTCACAATAAACCACTTGGCAATCTATGACAATGTTAGTTAGGTTAGGTAATAATTAGTTTTTTTTTAAATTTAAATTTTAAAACAAATTAAATTATGCATAATTTATTGTTAATAATTATTTACTCTTTTTGAACTTGAATTTAAACATACTTAAGTATTTTTTATACAGAAACAATAATTTTTATATATTAAAAATTATTTATTCTAAAACCTATTCTATTTTAAATTGAAAAGTTGCCAACATGATATGATAGTATTTTGAGTATACGTAAAATTCAAACCGAAGAAAACTAATTATAATAATACAGTATAAAAAATGTACAAAGATAAAAATAGAGATAATATGAACAATAAATAATTTTTTAAAAATAATATTTTAAGAAGTAAGAAATATTATATTAAAAGGAGTAGTGGACAATGATATTATGCCAAGTGGTGTGCTAAAGAATCATCATATTAATAATGTAATAATATTAAATAATAAAAATTATAATAAAGAAAAATAAGAAACAAAAATATTATACGATGACTATATAATTTGTTTTTCTTTAATTTCATATAGTTTAGTTAATGAAATATATATTGAGAAGTAAATGCTAGTTGAAATTCTATTAACGCAACATAATATAATATAATGAAAAGATAATTTATAATTTAAAATAATTAATATTCTTTAATATTGACCGCGTATCGCGCGGGTTCTAATACTAGTATTATAGGAAGGACCTTAATCAAAGAAAATCAAGGTCATGAAACTATGCACTGAAGATTCCTCTATCAAAGGACAACAATCAAAAGTCGAAATCAAGGGATCTGATGTGATACTTCAAATAACGGGAATATCTGCATAGCAAAGGAAATATCCAATCAAGACCACAAGTCAAGGCAAATCAATAGAAGCAATATCGTATTCTTTGAAAGAATCACTCTACGATTCCTTTCTGAGATCAACTCCCTTGGGTTTGCAATCTCTTAAGATTCACAAGACAAGAAGACCTNTATATATATATACACTTTTGTACCGTCCTGGAAAATACATACTTTGATCGAACCACTATCAATCTTTTTTTTCTACTCCAAACAAGCATTGCAGCCTATTCTGGATCTATGGTGTAACTAGGGAGAGAAGAAAGAGAGAGAAATCACTGGTGGGGCATTGTATCAAGAAGCGAGAGAAGAACTAATATAGTGACAAAGTTATTGGTGTATAACAACGCAAACCCTCCTGTATCAAGAAACTTCAAATACTTGAAAGAGAACACCCTTGCAACCCAAGGGGACTGGACGTAAGATTCACATTGAATACGAACCAGTATAAAAATCTGGTTGTCTTTAATTCCTGCATTTTTACTTTTGCTTTCATTTAGATTCTGCCTTTATTTTCAGTCGACTAATTGGTAAACTAGTCAACTACTTAGGATACAAAAAGAACAATCGACAATTCACCCCACCCCCCTCCTCTTGTACTTTCACCTACTAGGCTGAGTTATGTTAGTTTGGGGAATAACACATTGGAAACAATATCTAGTCTGGTACAGAACTTTCAATAGATGTTGGAAAGCACCACTTATGTGTCAGATCTTATTGTGTTTCTAGTTAGGAGGTATGACCTAGTTTTAGGAGCACTATGGATGAAGACACTGGGTCCAGTTACTATGGATTACTCTACCCTTACTATGACCTTTAACTATTAGGGTAAGCAACACATTTTGAATGATGTCTCAAAAGATTGCAGACTTTCTAGTCCTAAGGATGTTAACAGGTACCAAAGTGATGAAGTTCAGTTGTTCATGTTGCAAGTTATGATAGATATTCCCCCTTCTGATGTTGAATATGAAGGGATTCTATGTGCTTTGCATCTTCCTGATGA